GAGAGCTCATTAGAAAAAACAAAAGAGGGAAAAAAAATCATTGCTGGATTGCATAGAATAAGGTGTGGCCTGGCTGGTGTGGCTCACTGGTTGAGCATCAACCCATGCACCGAGAGGTCGCTGGTTCAATTCCTGGTCAGCGCACATGCCCAGGTTGTGGGCCAAATCCCCAGTGAGGGGCATGCAGGAGGCAGCCAATTGATGTTCTCTCTCATCCATGTTTCCATCTCTCTCTCCCTCTCCCTTTCTCTCTCTAAAATCAATAAAGAAAAAAAAATTTGTTTAAGAATAAGGTGTGAGTGTGGGGATTGGGGCTGGGAAACAAGCAGAGCCCAGCCAAGTTACAGTGCTTCCTTGTAAGGCTTATAAAACAAGCAAAGGAGGTTGGATTTGATTCTGAGGGCAAGGGAGAGGTTTAAGGAAAGTGGTATCAGCATCACATTTGCGTGTTGGCAAGCTAGGAGAATGGATGGTAACAGTAAAGAACAGGGATTCACGCAGTAACCTGGATGAAAGGAGCAGAAGAAATGAAGAGGAACATGGATTTGGATGTTATAGCTAATATGATTTTGGTGATTAATTAAACTCAAAGAAGCCATGAGGGGAAAAGGTCAGAAATGATCACACAGCTTTGCACATAGTGCTCAGTTATTACCTATGAAAAGAATGAATGAATAACAAATAAATAATTGAATGAAAAAATGTACTGATAAGTGAGAGGCAGAAAAGAGTAGAGTAAATTATTTTTGGAGATCTTTTTCAAAACAGAGCCATCCTTAGAAATAACATAAACTAAAGGGAAAAAATCGGAATTTGTTGGTTTATACTGTCCCTGTATTTTTAAACATGTGCAATCAGATCAAGATAAACTTAGAAGAGACACAGAGCAATATCAGAGCCTCAGACTGCTTTTGGTGTTTCTGTCTTCCCAAGTGCTACCTCCCTGTGTCTCTGCCAACTGGTGATACATCAGAATCATCAATAGCTTCCAACTTCCCTAAATCCTAGGCCTATAGGCATGTTTCTGAATTTTCTACACTCTTGAAATAGTTCCTTCAATGACAATCTAAATTGTTCAAGGACTAATTCATTTGTCAAATATTTATTGGGTGCCTACTGCATGCTAGGCTATAACCCAGGGCTGTAACCATGACAACAGTAAATTCAACCCCCATCCTGCTGGGAGCTACTAGTCCCCTTGAACATTTAAAATGGATCACATATGTAAATGGTAAAATGTGAATTTTTCTCCATTTACTCAAAAAGAATCCTCTTTGGCTGAAGACATTGGCCTCGGAAATAATCAGAGGACTCATCATTGAAGGATGTCCTTTTCATAATGTAACATCGCCACCTAGTGGTCCCAAACAACTTTACCGATTAACCCAGGAAAATTTCTAGCTGAATTCCTGGAATGACTCTCCACCTCTCCCCAGAATTTCTCTTTTCTCTATCAAGATAATCTAAGGGTTGATGCTCTAACATATAATAGGTACCCTATATTTGTTAAATAAATGTATAAATAGAAGGGCAAATTAATTTCCTACCCTGGTACATTCTGGCAACTGAAAGAGAAAATTTAGAAATTTTTTCCCAGATTCCTCTGGATTCGGAGGGACTTCTAATCAATTCTATAACGGCCAGAGGTATTTATGTCCTTAATTTAGGAAAAAAATCCTTTCGGTGCATTTGAATAAGCTAAATTTTTGTAAAGGTTACTGCTACCAGGGATGAAACCTAAAGCGGCTTTCTGTAATCCAAAATCAATAAAGAACAGAGTTTGTTACCCCAGATGTCAGGACCAATACCAAAACAAAAGACAGTTGGCAAGGAGGAAGGTGTGGACACAGAATATCTGAAGACCCTTTCATTGACTCTACTTCTACACTTCAAGCTGGGCCAGATGTCATTGCGAAGTGTGCTCAGAAAACCATGGTAACCCAAACAAAGTGGCCAATCTCAAGTAAAAATCACAAAGAAAGTAGAAAAGAACAAAAGCACCAGACTAGTTTCTCAGAAATAGAAGGCTCCTAGGACAACATTCCAACAGGCTAAGTCTTGTTTGTTTGTTTGTTTGTTTGTTTGTTTTCAGGCTAAGTTGTAAGCCTCTTGTCTGCTTAAGTGCATAAAACAGACCTCCTTGTGATTCTGGCTGGAGCCTCCTAGCTCTTTGGCTGTAATTTTCCTGATTCCGTTGGCCCAGAGGGTGGAGAAATGGCAGTTAGCAAGTTACCTGGCTCCTCCTCTCTCAGAACACTGGGAGGCTGAAGCAAAGAGTTAATGACCCCCCACCCACCCACCCACCCACTCGATTATTTTCTACATTGTCTCTCTCATCCTTTCTTGCTGATTAAGACTGACAACTGTTACAGAGAGGGGATCAGAGAGGCATTAGAGTACAGTGAATGAGAAGATTGATGACCCAGGGTCTAAGTCCAACCCCTTCGACAGATGGCCTTAGATTTGTGGTAAATTACTTATCCTCTTCAGCAAGGTCACCAGATACCTTTGTGAAGGTTGTGGAAACAACTCTAGGGGTATGATCACCACACATTTACATACTCACTGACATAATTTCAGCAGTTGGTAGAAAAGTGTCTTAAAGGGTGCCTTTTTTTCTAATCCACTCAAAGGCCCCAAGTGGGCTATCATCAGCCCCGCATTCTGAGCCTCAGTTTCCTAATCTATAAAATGAAGACAATCCATATTTATCTATAGACTTGGCAAGAAATAGTAAAGCACCTTGAAAACTGCAAAGTGGTATGTAGATTATATTTCCCTAAATTCTATTTGTGATTATCCAAATTTGAGAGATTGATATAACAAGTGGTAACAGGAGAAACAAGTTTCAGCCTACTAATGTTTTATCCTCCTTTGAAAATGGAAGCAAAGGCCAGTGTTCAGATGGCAAATATCTTCTCACTCACAATATGTCACGATTCAAAAGGTATCTTTGTATTCATCAACCGAACTTAAAAGAATGTGCCAATTTCTGAGAGTTGTTCTACTAAATAATTGAATTAGTTATAAACTAGTTACATTCTCTCTTCTCTGAGTCTTCAAATAAAATGAGCAAATGAAAGCTAAGCCCTGCCCATCCTCAACCCCACTCCTGACCACTGGAAATTGGGTTTTCTCAGGGGGATAGATTTGAGGGTAGGTTAAGGAAAAGTAAAAAAAGTTGTAAATTTTTTAATTCCCACAGAAGTTGTTCTCCAATGTAATAATGTACATTTGAGTATTATTTTCAGGAAAACAACCCATATAAAGCCTCTTGGATTCCTTTCATCATGAAGATTCAACTAATTATATAGTTCAGTCTAGTAACACAAATGATGTCATATAATTTGATTTGGCTTGGAAACGAGAAGGAATGGATAGGAAGCAGTTTGAACTTCTAATTTGGTCTGTTTTGAGACAATGTTAAAAAGGAGTTGAACATATACTATCTTTCTTGTATGAACTGTACTTAGGGTGACCAAATAACTGATGAAGGATAAGTTTCTCTTTATAAAAAGATCTTGGGCCCAGGCCAGAGTTCCAATTCTGGCATAACAATATAAGGAGCTGCATAGACTGCTCTCTCCAGTGAAAATGGTGAAATTTTTTTTAAAATTTTAAGTCTTTAGAAATGATGCTAAGCCCGGCAGTGTAGCTCAGTGGTTGAGCTTCCCCCCATGCACCAAGAGGTTGCTGGTTTGATCCCACATGCCAAGGTTGTGGGCCAAATCCTCAGTGGGGGGCATGCAGGAGGTGGCCAATCGACATGATCTGTCATTGATGTTTCTCTCTCTCTCTCTCCCTTCCTCTCTTTCTAAAATCAATAAAGGGGGGAAGAATTTCTTTTTTAAGAGAAGAAAATGACGCTAAGAGAATCCAGCAAATGAAGAAATATTTGTTCAAGAAAATCTACAAAGGCTCCGTTAAGAACTGCAAGAATTTATGGTCTGTGCCCCTCTTCAGTGAGACAGAAACTCTACTCCAGGCTGTCTACAGCCCAAGAACAGTGCGCCCTCACCCCCAACGCCAAGTCAGAGGGCTGCCTACTCAGAAAGGACAGGATGTCGTCGTTTCTCATCTTGCCCCCAGTTACCTGCTGCGGAGGCTGTTTCTGGGAGCACGGCTAAGAGGTGGAGACTCTCCTTCCAGCCAGCCCCACTTGTGGGAAGGCGGCTCGACCTTCCAGTGCACAGCTGCTGAGAATACTGGGGCCCCAAGTGCCTTTGCCTGGGCTCCTGGGCTCCTGGGCACAGGGCCCAGAGCTTTTATTGGGTACATGAGAATTTAATTATATTATTTTCTTTACTTTTATGTAACCTTGAAATTTTCTATATTAAAAAGTTTAAGGACAAAAACATGAGAAAAATCTATTTGACGCAATCCTGAGTCTCTGAAATTCTGAGTCTTAGTGAGCATCAGGGAAACTTTTCTACAGATTCAGTAACTCAGAAACTGGGGCTTTCAGACTCTTTCTGGATAATACGAGTCTTGCACCTCACACACAGGAGTGTCATGCATAACACAACAAACTGCTGGATAAGCATGTCGATGCCGTCCTCAAAAGAAGCCATTTCCAGGGGCTGAGAGGAAAAGCCAGGAGCACAGCAGGGCTCCCTCGGGTCACATTCATCTTCCTGCAACTGGAAACTTCAGAGAGGAGGTGCAAGTGACCCAGAAAATGTACCAAGAAATACCTCTCCCCCTCCCAGAAACAGAGAATGAGTCTTTTGATTAAACAGCAGTTAGGTTTAATCACCAAATTATTCCTGCCCGAATTGAAGAGAAACAATCCAGGTTTAAAAGGTGTGGGGATCTTTCCCGCTCACTTACTTCAGAGGCAAGCAGAGGTGAATGAAGAAAACAGGATACCTAAGCTCAAGCCCGGGTAAAGGCTCCAGGGAGAAGAAGTCCTTGTCCTTTCAGCCTTATGTCCAAGGTCACCGTCTTCAGACTTCTAGGCATCCTGCTATGGAATAAGCTGCCCCGGCGATGCTTTCTGCCTATGCCTCCGGAGACTCTTCTCTCCGTGTCCCAGGGAGTTTGTTCTTCTCATTCTCATAATCAGTGGACTGAGGACTCAGTAGTTTGAGCTCAGAGTCCCAACTTGTTCTAGACGTACTGGCTGAAAGGTCCTTTGGGGTCGTCTCTTGGGCTCCTGCCATAACCTCCATCTGAGTAGTAATGTCCTCGTTAGTGGATTCTGTCTTGGATAATTTAAGATCTAAAAGAAGACCCAGCCATTAATTTTACCTGTAGCCTTCCGCCCAATTAACTGTGACAAATGGAGGACAGAAAAGGAAGGGCTGGGGTGTCTTCAGGACCCTTCTTAGGGATGAGGACTGTGCCATCCAGGGAGGTGAACCATCCTGCTTAACACAGGTTCCGCTCGCCCTGTCCTCAGCCACTTCCCAAGGCTCCCCCACCCTAGTAACTCACTCTGCTCACTGGGGAAGGAATCCAGGTAGTTCTCAGCATAGTCCACCTGTGGCCTCTCTGTGGAATCCTGAAATTTATTGGAGTAAGTGTAAAGAAACTTGAAACTTTAGGAAACAAAGGGTTTTTCGAAATGATGCATTCCTTGGATAAATAAACACTTAAGACAGGACAAAAATCCCACTCCTGAGACTGAAGAGGGACGCTTGCGTCACACATCTCTGCCCTGCAGGCTGACCAGGTGAAGCCAGGCCCACTCTTGCCCTTGCCCAGCTGTCAGCTGCGGGGAGAGCCTCGGAAGGTGCTGCCAACAATTCCTCCCGTCCCCGCGTGCACACGCTGCTCCAGCTCCACCGAGAGAGGGAGTTCTCTCCTCTCCTCTCGAGTCTGGGCTAGACTTGGGATTTTTTTTTTTTTTTTTTAATCCTCACTCGAGGACATTTTTCCATTTTTTGTACAGATAGCGTGGGAGGGAGAGAGAGGAAGGGAGAGAGAGACAGAAACATCGACGTGAAGGGACACACTGAGTGGCTGCCACCCGCACGACCAACCAGGGCCGGAGACAAACTGCAACCGAAGTACGTGCCCTTAGCGGGAACCGAACCCGGGTCTCTCCGGACCGCAGGCCGATGCTCTAACCGCTGAGCCAAACTGGCCAGGGCTAGACTTGGGATTCTTTTAACATGTGGCAGAAGTGACACTGCTACAGCTCCGGGCCCATCCCTTAAGCAAGTGCTCGCATGAGATTACTACGCTGTCAAGAAGCCCAAACTGGCCACATGTAAACTCATTACGAGAACCAAGGCAATTAGGCCAACAGTCTCAGCCCAGCCTCCAGCTGAATGTGGCTCCGTGAGTGACATCGAGCAAGACTAGACAAACTATCCAGTCAACCCACAGAACCACGAGAAATAACAAACCGCTGTGGCTTCAGCTTCGAGGCAGACAGGCGGTAACAGATAACTGAGACAGGGCCCTAGCAGAATGGCCCTCGGCAACTCTCACCTGTTTCAAAGTGGAGCCTTTTTTCTTCATCTGCTGCTGCTGCTTTTTGTCACCTTCCTCACCGGGGAGAGTTCTGTGACCTAGTGACCACAAAGTCCACTCAGTTCCCTCCTTATTTGTATTTCATATGCCATTGTTTGGGCCTCTAGTTGACCCCCTAGTCAACAAATGACTCCCTATCCAGGACAAGACAGGACCTTAGAGGCAGCTAAAACGGAGTCAGGCTTTCTGAGTTCTACTTGTGATTCTGTTCACCTGTGACTGTGCCCACATCTATTACAGAATTAGAGATTAAGGTAAAGTGTGTGTTGAAAGATCCAAGATTCCTCCAAGAAACCTAAGAGACAGCTACCTGCACAGCACAGCAGCAAAAGAAGCCCTAAGTTTAGCTTTTCAGTTTATATTCCTCTGACCTTCTTGCACCATACCTAATGTACCCATATTGGCTTCTGAAAATGAAACCCCTTCCCGAAAAAGCTCTCGTTCCAGAATTCTTTTGCATCAGCTTTATCCCCAAATAGTCCTGAAATGCACTGATTGTTTCCACTCTCAGTCTCCTTTTCCCTAAACAAACATCTTCCAAGCTGCCACCAGAGGTATTGTGGTAAAAGGCAAAGTCAGTCAAGGAACTCCTTTACTCAACACTTGTGTTGGCTCCCTACCAACATGGTTCCCACGATAGCTGCACACTAAAACACCGGAGAGTTCCAAAAAACACTGAGGCCTGGGTGCCAACACCAGAAATCATTATTTAATAGATCTAAGGGCGCAGCCCAGAAATTAGGATTTGAAAAGCTCAGTTGATTTCAGTGTGCAGTCATGGTGGAACACCACTGGCCTGGACGATAATGGTCAAACATCTCAGCAGGCCATACAAGTCCCTACCCACCTCTCTCCCTTAAATAGCCAACCCCACAACCATAGTGGACAGCTCCGTGTTCCCTGAGCAGCCAGGCTGCTCCAAGATGCCTCTGTGCAGGCTGTTCCCACCTCCAGGAATTCTGTTCCATAGCAGGAAAACCCACACTTGTACTCAAGATCCAACATAAAATCATCTCTTCCATAAGGCCTTTCTCAACCCAGTACGGATAGGCCACTGCTCTAAGCACAATTTAAATGGGCACCCCACTCCCCCAAGCAACACTGCTCCTATTAAAGGCATTGGAAAAGGAACTAAAGGCACGAGAGTGGAATTCAGGGGAGTGTGGATCACCCTGGATGGGGTGCTAACCTTGGCCAAATTACCTCCTGCTCTGGGCCACAGCTCTGGTTCTGTCTACCTCCTGAGTGAAGGTGGGGAGCCTTCTTAGATCTTCGAGTTAGAGGACACCGTTGGATCAGAGAGCTCCATGGGATGGGAAATAAACCGAGAGCAGCTTGCTTCCCAGTAAACATCTCACCCGAGCCCTCCCAGTGCCCTAGGACTAGAGTGAATTCTGGTGATTAGAGTTATTTTCACATTCCAGTCAGCCTAAGTAGGGCAGAAGGTTTAGGGGGGATTCTTTCTCCCTCCTTTCCTTCTATTCTGCACGTAAGCCAAGAAATGTCAGAGGGACTAGAGTAAGTATATCCTGCAGCTCAGACATGGTAAGAACTCCAAAAAAGGCAAGATGCCCATTCTTACCTCCAGCATGAATACTAGAGGAAAAAGATCACCTGTCAAGAATTTTCTACCTGCCTCCTAGACAAGGTTAGATAAAGTGCTGATCTCAACCTGAGGCTGTAGAGACTGACTTGTGACAGAGGAAGCGGAGGGCCCTGGATTCTGCTTCTTTAGAACTCTCTTGAGGTTTTAGTAAGGGGGCCGGATCTCTGCCTCATCAGCCAATGGGCCCTCAGGGGTCTTCTCCTCGGTAACATGGGCGTGCTCATCCTCAAACCGCTCTGCCTTTTCTAAAGTAGGAGCTGAAGGAAAACAGCTGACTCATGCTCGGGTTCTCTCTCACATCCCATGTGAAGCAGACACCTGGCCCAGCTTGCTCAGTAAATACTTGATGAAAGGATGACAGCCAAGCCAAAGCATTCCAAGGACAATTCTGAGGGCCTGACAAGGCAGGTTTCCAAACGACAAGGACACTCAGCTTTTCCTGCCCTCCGCTCGATCCTGGGATTCTGTCACTCTCAACCCATATTCTCCTTACCATAGCGTGGGTCACAAACCATGGTACCTAAACGTTTACGTGAAGTGCTCTGGCCCTGTGGGTCACTCTTGGATTTCTTTTTAGCCTCCTGAAACCCAAATGAGAACTGAATTAGAACTTTTGAAAGTGAAAAAGTTAGTATCTACAACCAAATAGGAACTTTGTATCTATAACCAGATAGAGAACAGGGAGAATCCCAGCACTTATATATCCCTTCCTGTTCCAGGCTGCGCCCACTTGTCGCAGTGTTAGCAAGTCCTAGGTGGCCCCTCACTGCCACTCTACCTGTTTCTTAGTAGGTGTCTTCAACTTCCGCTGCTGCTGCTGCTGCTGCTGCTGCTGCTGCTGCTGCTGCTGCTTCCTCTGACCTGGGGACCAGAGGACCAGCTCCAGCCTCTTCTCCCTGATAGCTCCCACCCTCACCCTGCGCTGCGTGCTGTGTCCTGTTCCACAACAGTGACACTCTCTCTGGTCTGGACCAAGCTGAGGCAGGGGTGGTGGTGGTGGTGGCTGCTTCCTAAAATTTCAGTTTCCTGAATTCTACATGTGACCCTGTATGACTGTGGCCATAGACATAACTGAATTTGGACCAAGATCAAATATGAGGCCCTGGCTCAGCAGTTAGAGTGTCAGCCTGTGGACCAAAGGGTCATGGGTTCAATTTCTGCCAAGGGCATGTACCTGGTTTGCAGATTCCATCCCTGGCTCTGGTTGGGGTCATGCAGGAGGCAACCAATTGATGTTTCTCTCTCTCTCCCTCCCTCCCTCTCTTCCACTCTCTCTGAAAAAGAAAATTTTAAAAATCAATGGAAAAATATCCTCGGGTGAGGATTAACCAAAAAAAGATCAAGTATGAGAACTGTGGGCTAAGGAGGAATGGTACCTGGAGATCTGGCAGCAGCAGAAAACCTACCTTCTGTCTTCAGGTTACAATATGATTTATTCAAATGTGCAGAATATTTCAATCCTGGTGTCTAGAAAGAAAAAGAAAAATGTAGGTCTTTCCCTGTCTCCAAATGTATCCCCCAAACTCACTTATCCATCTAGTCAACTCGCACTGTTTGAGAACCCATGCAGGGGCCCTGGCGAGGGGAAAGGTGCAGGAAATGAGGTGCGGAAGAAATAGAGAACACTGCTCTCCTCAGATCCTCCCCACACATTTGCTTTCACCAATCTATGTTTCTCTCTCACGCTGATGCCTCTGTGGCACTTGGGTCCAGAGTAGGAGGATAGAAGAGAAAGAAAAATAGAAAGTCAACTGTTCCAGCCTTGAAGACAGAGGAGTCTGGATGTAGACACCGTGCTCTGAGGCTCCCTAACTTACTTGCAGGGTGAGGCGGTGTACAAACAGAAACATCTCAGCACAGATGGCACTGTCGGGACGGCTCTTTTCCAGAGGAGGCTTCCTTTTCATCATGGCCAATTGTGTCTTCATCTCAGGACAAAGCACAGTTTTCCCTTCATCTGACAAAAGACTGAAGGGGGTAGAGACAACCAGACAATCAGCAACAGCTCTTCTTGGAGAGAGTGGCTGAGGGGAAACATAAAAAGGGCTCCAACTGTGAAGAAATGCCCCCTTTGGGCCTAACAGGTCTGTACCAACAGGTGCTCATTCACTAACAACTTTCAGATGCAACTATGATCATTATAGCTATTTGGAGTAAGTATTTACTCTTTTTCAGGCTCATGTGCTTTATACCAGTGAATCCTTACAACACCCTGAGGGCAGGTATTATTGTCCCCATTTTGCAAACGAGGAAAATGAAGTTTAAAGAGCCTAAACTATCAAAATTCACAAAGCCAGTAAATTTCAATACAAAATGCAAAGGTTGTCTCACTCCAAACCACATATCCATTCTGCCTCCCACTTATCCATAACTCATCTATAAAAAGAGAAGAGTAATTGGATCTACCTCCTAGTGGAGGTTTAAATGAGAGAATACAGGTAATGTGCTTATTTAGCACAGGGCCTGGAAGACAGGAAGTACTTGGTTAATGGTGGTGAGTACTGTCACCACTGTGTATTGGTAAGTCTAAGAGCCCAGTGAACAGTATGGTGGTGGTTTTCTCCCCTCCCTACTCAGGGAGAGCTCACTGCTTAGACCCTCCCCAGCTTCTAAGAAGAGCAGGTGCCCTGGCTCTCCCACAGGCTTACATGATACTCACTCATTCAGGAGATCCGGAGGTAACATGTCAAATTGGTTCCAGAGAGGTAGGAATTCTGAATTTAGTTGCTCCAAGACATGTACTGGAGAAGGGGGAGGTACAATTATCCCTGAAGATCTCAACTGTGTTTCTATGTCCTGCTTTCCAGACAGAAGTAGAGATTACTGCCTTCTGGAAGGGAAACAATGGAAAGAACTCCCCGAAGCACTCCCTTCAATGCCACCTCTTCCCATCCGCCTCCCAGCCTGCCAACACGACCCCAGCTCATGAAACTCCTTATTAGCAGACCTCGTCCAGCAGCAGTCCCTCCCCAATCTGCACTATGAGGGCCACCATATTCTTCCCTCTGTGGCTCCCCAACAACACTATTACTGAATTCAGATCATACAGGGATGCGTTGTTTTGTTTTGTTTTCCCCAGAAAAGGTTATTCATGTATTCAAACTGAACAAATATTTATTGGCAAACTACGTGTAGGCACAGGACTAGGGCTGGGATTCAGCAATGAAAAAAAAATGGACCAAGACACTCTTCTCATGGATGTAGCAACCTTCTAGCTCTGTGACTCTTCGAGGATACAATTACCCAATAAATAGTAGAAGTAGAAGCTCAGCCCAGTTGGTGCGGCTCAGTGGGCTGAACATCGTCCCATGGACTGAGAGGTCCCAGTTCAATTCCTGGTCAGGGCGTGTGCCTGGGTTTCAGGCTCAATCCCCAGTAAAGGGTATGTGGAAGCAGCCGATAGATGTTTCTCTCTCACATTGATGTTTCTCTCTCTCTCTCAAAAAAAAATTAAAAAAACATTAAAATAACAAAAGGAAGTAAAAGCCCAGGTCCATCATAACTTCTAGTTCCCTGAAACAGTTCCTCCTAACCTCTCTTCAAGGTTCTCTTCACCTTCCTACAGGGAAGAGGTAGGGAAAAAGAGTCTCTGAATACAAAATGATTTGGTAATTATTTCTTAAGAAGGGTTTTCTTTTGCAAATTTTATTCATTTAAAGAAAGAACAGATGAAAGGAAAACAAAAATAAACTTTACAGAGTAATACCATAAAGCTTTGGCCACAATATCAAACTTACCACTACAGATTTCTTTCTTTTCTTCTTCCCATCCCGTCTGGGAACAATATACCTCTCTGCTGGACTTGAAATAAGAATAACCAAAACTTATTTCCAGACATCTTAAACAAATGCACCAAGGACATTTGTGAATGATGACTATGAAGATTTCTATCTTCTATTTGGTACTCAGAGATGGCTGGTTAGGAGCCCAGCTGTACCTGCTGCCCAGAAACTGCTCAAAAAAGATCTCCACCCTCACATCTAAATTAGGTTTCCCACCATTCTCTCACATAATCCAGTTACTTACTTTCACAACATTAATCCAAATGAGCAATTCTATACTTAGGTGTGATGATGTTTGTAATGTCTGAATCTCTACCACCATAAGACTGCAGAAGGACAGGGACCAAATCTATCTGGTTTGCACTGAATTCTCACTGCTGAGCATGAGGAGGTGCTCAAGTATATCTGCTGTGTCATCTTTCTCCTCCTTTTGGCCTGGAACATGGATATGATGGCTGGAGCCCTAGCAGTCATTTAGACCTTAAAATACCCCATGAAGCACCTTGGAAAATGGAAGCCATAGCTGAAGATATGACCTAGAAAGCTAGAAGCAACTCTGGTTTCTGGTTACCTCATGGACCTGATATACTAGCCCTGACCCACCTACATCTGGGCTTCTTTCATATGAAAGGAAATAAGCCCTTAGGTGGTTTTTTTGTTTACACCATATATATGCACAAAGAATGCATATTTAAAGAAGCATTTACAAGATCATTAGGCCTTGGGGTTGAAACCAAAGATTCATGTGCTTCACTGGAAACTTTTTCACTAGTTGCTGATGGCTAATAAGAAAAACCAGTTCTCAACCCTGGCTGGTGTGGCTCAGTGGTTGAAGCGTAGGCTTGCACACCAAAGAATCATGGGTTCAATTCCCAGTCAAGGGCTCATACCTGGATTGTGGGTTCAACCCTGGCCCCAATTGGGGCATGTGCGTGAGGCAGCCGATCAATGTCTCTCTCATATAGATATTTCTCTCTCTCTCTCTCTCTCTCTCTCTCTCTCTCTCTCTGTCTCCTTCTCTCTCACTTCCACTCTCTCTAGAGATCAATGGGGAAAGTATCCTCAGGTGAGGATTAATAAAAAATAAAACAAAAAAGAAAGAAAAGAAAAATAAAAACTATAGTCCCAGAGATGTGGAAGTGGGGTACAGACTGATAATCCCCAGAAGAGGGGGTGGTGGGGGAGAGGTAAACCACAGAACTTATATGCACGTATGCATGAACAAAGGTCATGGACAACAGAGCTGGGGACAGGGTGTGGAGGGAGGGGGAGGGGGAATCAGTGGGAGAAAAAGGAGAAACATCTATAACAAAAATAAATTAAGTTTTATAAAAAAGAAAAACTAATAGAGAGCATTTGTTCACCCGAGAATATGATTTTAGAGAGGGAGGGAGGGAGGGAGAGAAGAAGAGAGAAAGGCATTAATGTGAGAGAGAAACATTGAATGGTGGTCTCCCGTATGTGCCCCAACTGGGGATGGAACCTGCAACCCGGGCACGTGCCCTGACCAGGAATCGAACCGGCGACCTCTTGGTGCATGGGTCAATGCTCAACCAACTAAGCCACACTGGCTGGGCACTGCCATGCAGAATTTGATGTAGAGAAGTCCCAGGACATGAATCTCAAAGTGCATTAAAATAGAATTCCTGTGTAGCAAGAGGAAGAAGCAGGAGACTATGACCTTCTCTGCTTGGTCTCCTGCTACCTGCAGTGAGGTGGCTAAAAAGGAGATCACAAAAAGGAGGCCTGCAGAGAACAGCAGGGCTTTGCAGAACATAAGAACTGAAGATTTTGACATGATACTCACCCCACATGCTCCTTTGGTTCTTTGGGGATCCAGATTACAACCATATTTCTAACATCTTGAGGGCAAGGAAGTTTTGTCTCATTCAAATTTAGCACTGGAAGCTAAGAGTAAAATATAAAGCCTATGCATGGTTTGAAGGTACCAGCTCCTGATGGTACTCAGTATCAGACCAAGGACTAAATTATCATGCTAACCAAAAGGGTACAGTGGCTCATAAGATAATAAAAAGACATTCTCCCATCCCCAAAACATTTTTATAATATTCCCCCAAGAAACCAGATATCAGTACAGGTACTGGAAGAGTGAGGATTTATAAGTGAATAGTCTACCCTGGTTCCCTGTGACATTAGGGTAGCATTTAGCAACTCCCAACCCCATCCTATATGAGGGTACCTTGGGGCTTACGGAAGGGAACACTACTCATTATGGCCACTCCACTCCAAAGACCTAGACCCTCTGGAGATACTACAATACAATTTGGGAGCAGGGAAGGAATTGATATGAACAGAACCACGTTTTTTACTTTTACAGCCTGTCTACAATTATAGGCATCTACATATAAGTTAAAGTCTTGCCCTAGCCGGTTTGGCTCAGCGGTTGGAATGTTGGCCCACAGACCAAAGGGTTGTGGGTTCGATTCCCAGTTGAGGGTACATACCTGGATTGCAGGTTTAATCCCTGGTCGTGGTCAGAGTTGTGTGGGAAGCAACTAATTGATGTATCTCTCTCACATCAATGCTTCTCTTTCTCTCTCTCTCTCTCCCCCTCCCTACCTCCCTCCCTCCTTTCCTCCCTCCCTCCTTTCCTCCCTCCCTCCCCTCCTTCCGTTCCCTCCCCTCCCTCCCCCTCCTCCCTCTCCTTCCCCTCCTTCCATTCTATCTAAAAAAATCAACAGAAAAATATCCTCAGGTGAGGATTAACAACAACAACAAAAAGTTAAAGTCTTAACTCTTTTCACATTTAGCTATTTAAGATACTAGAACACTGGTGCTCAAGGAAACCTCATGTCATCTAGTCCATATCCCTAGTAGGAAAAGGAGGTGGTTAACAATAAAGTTATCTCCATGAAAAGGAAGTGATTGGCTTGGGAGACTTCTTTGTACTATAAACTCTTTTTTGCCTTTTGAATTTAGAACCATGTATATGTATCATCTGTTCAAATAATTAATTTAAAACTAATTTAATCGAACCCTCTTGTTCCGAAGTGGTTCAAAGAGGTTAAGTGTTTTGTTCATTCATCCATTCAAACCTATCTTCTCTCTCTTAGTTACTTATACTCTTCACCTCATGACACTGAAAAGTGAAGTATCTCATGAAAAAAATAAAAGGCATCAATAGGACTGTAAAGAATAGTAAATCTCTCTTATTGTAGATAAGTAGCAGGGTCTCTCTTCCTAAACTCTAATTTAGTTTTTCCCCTAACTAGCTTTGTGCTTTAGAAAATCACTTGCTGTCTGGGCCTCAATTTCCTCAACTATAAAATATATGAGATGGACCATAGTAATATTCTTCAAACTGAAATTTCAACTTAGTCATAAGTCATCGAATCAAATTGAGTAAATTGCAGCCTACATTGTTTAAAAATGAAATAGAATAGGATAGAAAATATCAGAGTACATCATCTCCCTTAGTTAGGGTAAGAATTGTTCCATGATATTTTTGTTATAAAATGTATATCTTACTGTAGGTCATAACTAAAAATGTTTGAAATCACCCTGGCCGGTTGCTCAGTGGTTAGAGCGTTGGCCCACAGATCGAAGAGCTGCGGGCTAAATTCCAGTACCTTGGTTGCGGTTCGATCCCCAGCCCTGGTTGGAGTCCTGTGGGAGGCAACCAAGTGGTGTGTCTCTCTCACATCAGTGTCTTTCTTTCCCTCTCTCTCCCCCTCCCTCCCACACTGTCTGAAAACATATGAAAAAATATGCTCAGGTGAGGATTTTAAAAAAATGTTTGTAAGTCATCAGAGTAGAGTAGATCTTTTTTTTTTTATCCTCACCCGAGGGCATTTTTTTCCATTTTTTGTTCAGATAGAGTGGGAGGGAGAGAGAAGAGGGAGAAACATCGATGTGAAAGTGACACATTGAGTGGCTGGCTGCCACCCGCACGACCAACCAGGGCCGGGGACAAACTGCAACCAAGGTACGTGCCCTTAGTGGGAACCGAACCCGGGTCCCTCTGGACCGCAGGTCAACGCTCTAACTGCTGAGCCAAACCGGCCATGGCTAGAGTAGATGATCTTAAGGCCCAATTTAGGTCTATTATGCCATTCCAGCATTTTAATTTCCTTATAGTATGAGATGACAGTGTTTACTTAATAGCTGAACACATTCTATGTAGGATAGAGACAAAATTCTCACCTATGCAAAACTGCCACAAATCAAACCCACTTGTGTCTGGGATCACTGGAAACAGCAGAGCATGTAAACCCATTAGCAAACAGTCTATTGTATATAGCAAGGGCCCAGTGTTAGACAGTATTCATCATCATGATGATCATTATCATTATTTAGATTGCAGTCATCCCAAGGAACAACGCTAAGTTAAGGCAAATATTTTATTCCCATCAGTAAAGAGAAGATGCAGAGGAAGTACCTTTTTCAATCTGTCACTTAGTTTGGAAGATCTATTGGTACAGTTAATCAAATCTTTGTCAGGTAAATCCGTGCGAGGCCTAAAAAAATGAGAGTTTATGAACATGAGACAGAGACACAAAAGACTTCTTGGGATGATAAAACTAGTTCTATGAGAAAAAGCCTTCTATTAAATTATAGAAAGCCTTGGACTGAATACTTACAAGTAAATGAATGTACGATTTCACCATCTCCTTAAGTACTGTTTGTTTTCCCTGAAACAGCTCCCAAACAGACATTGAACATTGCAAACACTTTACAACTATTTGTTGAATCAAAATGAACACATAGCCTAAGCCTCTCTCTGTCTAGCTATAGATAGTTACATCACCATTATTAAAAGTTTATTAAGTACCTATGATGTAGATGTCCAAAAACATGTTAAATAAACAAAATGTGGTATATGCACACAAAGGAATTGTTTTAAATTTTTTTCTTTATTGAGTTTAGAGAGAGAGGAAGGGAGAGGGAGAGAGAGAAACATCGATGAGAGAGAACATCAATTGGCCGCTCCCTGCACACCCCGCACTGGGGACGGGGCACACAGCATGGGCATGTGCTCTGACTGGGAATCGAGCCGGCGATCTCTTGGTGTATAGGTCAACGCTCAACCACTGAGCCACACCGGCTGGGTAAAGGAATATTTTTAAAAGGAATTAAATTGTGATATACACTACAAAACAAATGAACCTTGAAACTATTATGCCAGAAGAAACAAGGTAGACACAAAAGGACAAATACTGTATGATCCCACTTATATGAGGTAACTACAGTAGGTAAATTCATAGACAGAAAATATAATAGAGATTATAAGGAGCTGGAAGAAGGAGGAAATGAGGAGCTATTGCTTAATGAGTACAGAGTTCTTGTTTGAGATGACAAAAAAGCTCTAGAAATGGATAGCTGTGATGGTTACACAGTACTATGAATGTACTTAATACTACTGAATTGTACACTTAAAAATAGTTAAAGTGGGTAAATTTTATATTGTATATATTTACCACAACAAGAAAAATACTGTCCTCTTACACTTTCATATCACTTGCTATTTTATTTTTAAAAATGTGAAATGTAAAAAGGAATAAATATAAAGATATAAGGGTAAAGTCCCAACTCCTCAGCCCGACTTATAAAGTCCTACATCATAGAGGCCCCTGCTTTTTACTCCAGCTCCCCAGTCTCACCTCTGACACTCTCCCATTCCTGCTCTATGTTCCACTGAACTTTTTCCTGATACCTAAAGAATTTCCTCTTGCCTTCTGGATTTTGCATGTGCTATTTCTCTAGTCTAGAACTCTCTTCCTGTCCTCCTCCTGCCTGCAACCCCCCTTTACTAAACTGCTCTAATTTCAGGTCTAAGCACAGATGCCACCTATACAGAAGCAGTGCCCTGGGTTAGGAATCCTTCCCATGTGCTTGCACACATCTAGGGGACACTCTTTTTACCATACTCATCACAATGAATGGTTCTTTGCCCCCCAGCTGGGTTAAAAGCCCCTTGAGGGTAAAGACTTTACCCCCAGTGCCCAGGAAAATAGCCTCTGCTATGATATATCTATGAGTGCAAGTCAAACAAATGCTGTCTCGGTCTTTGCCTTCACAGGCCCTGACTGGGTTTTCATCCTAGAGAACCTGAAAGTAGTCCTATCCTTTTCTATACTATCTTTAACTTAAGAAAAACCATCAAGAGCTGCTTAAATCGAATAGAAGACAAGAAACCACTAAAAGGGCACTAGTTCTTTGATTCCACAAACAGGGTCTTCACATTTTAAAAATCTAAGTTTTCCCTTATCTTCATATATCAGCAAGCACTAACTGAGTACCTAAACTATGTAGGATATTCAAAAGGAAAAGCCGTTGCTTTCCTTCAGGAGCTTATAGTTTCATACCTAAAACTAAAAGAAAGACAAGTTTGTGTGGACAGTTTTCTGATGACCCACAGAAATTAATGAGCTGATATGGGCTGAATTGTATCCCCCCAAATTCATTTGTTGATGTCCTAACCCCCAGTACCCCAGATTTTTACTGTATTTGGAGATAGGATCTTTAAAAAGATAATTAAGGTAAAATGAGGTCATATAGGTGGGCTCTCATCCAATTATGACTGGTGTGTTTATAAGACATTAGCACAGACACTCACAGAGGGAAGCCACGTTAAGACATAAGGAATAAGCCCTGGCCGGTTTGGCTCAGCGGTTGGAGCACTGGCCTGTGGTCTGGAGAGACCCGGGTTCAGTTCCCACTAAGGGCGTGTACCTCGGTTGCAGTTTGTCCCCAGCCCTGGTTGGGTTGTGTGGGTGGCAACCACTCGATGTGTCCCTTTCACGTCTATGTTTCTCTCTCTCTCTCTCTCTCGCTCCCACTCTATCTGAACAAAATATCGAAAAACTGTCCTCAGGTAAGGATTAAAAAAAAAAAAAGACACAGGGAAGAAGGTGTCCACCTACAAGCCAAGAAGAGAGGGCTTTGAACACCTTAATCTTGAACTTCTAGCCTCCAGAATGTTGAGAAGATAAATTTCTGTCGTTTAAGTCACAGTCTGTGGTACTCTGTCTGTATGGCACCCTAGCAAACTAATATAGCTCCCATTTTAGCCAACTCCTAGAACACAAATAAGAATGCTTTTAGTTTCCCACAGCCTCTTTACCACTTCTTTAACTGAACTGGTGTTTTATTTTTAACTTTCTCAAGTCATCTATTTAGCTTTCTCAAAGTCATCTATAAGAGTAAGGAAATCAACCCAGAATTCTGAGATAGCAGGCTCTTAAAAAAAGATTCCATGATAATTTACCTGCCTTGAAATCTGGATTTAAACTTTGAACCCTGAGACAATAAAGAGTGAGGCTTCGTGAAGGTAAGTCTTGGTAAATGACGATGAGGACGTCTCTTAGCCTGGAAGCAGGAATCTGAGAGGTTTGCAATGGTAAGCACTGGGAGTTTATCTGAGAAAGCAGACAAGATGAAAACACGTAACGTGTCAAAAGGGAACCAAACAGAAATAGTTCAAAGATCTTGTGAGGAAGGAAACAGGCTGGCTAATTCACCGTTAACATCCACAGGAGTTTTGGAGGGTGAGCCCAGGATTCGAGGGTGGCCCCTCTCAATTCGGCGGATTGCTGCCCAGCATTGTGGATGCTGACAAAGAGCCACGTTGCAGGTGGTTTCATCCCACTGGCTCTCATCTGGCAAGTCCATAGTTACAAATGGTTTAGGACAAAAGCCAACCTTGCAGCTTTCTAGCCATCTGGAGAAACAACAACATAATTAGGAAGTATTATACACTAGCCAGATCTTAATTTGGACTCAAAGCATAAAATATTTCTACTTGTAGGTAAACGGTGGTCATAGGATAATTAAGAATTGGGTAACAGCCCTGACCGGTTTGGTTCAGCGGTTAGAGTGTCAGCCTGCAGACCAATGAGTCTTGGGTTTGATTCCGGTCAAGGGCATGTACCTTGGTTGCGATTCATTCCCAGCCCTGGCTGGGGTCCTGCGGGAGGCAACCACCCAATGAGTCCCTTTCACGTCAATGTTTCTCTCTCTCTCTCTCCGCCCCCCCCCTCCCCCGTCCCCCTCTCTCTCCCTCCCACTCTATCTGAACAAAAATGGAAAAATGTCCTCGGGTGAGGATAAAAAATAAAAAAAGAATTGGGTAACAAGCAAGTATGAAAATACCTAGTGTGAAGTAAAGGGGCAAGAGTTTGGGAACAGACTGACTTCAAAAGGTCTCCGAATTCACCATTAAAAGACTAGTTAATCTGAGCTTCAATTTCCTCATCTACAAAATGAGGATAAGCCTACTTCACAGGGTCATTACAAAAAGTAGTTGATGGATTTTAAAAGGTCTGGTATATATTTCAGAGTAAATATCAGCATACTTTCCTTTTCCCTTTTATTAATCATTAGGGAGAAGATACTACCATCTGCAAAAAGCCGTATCAAATCACAACGAATGTAGTTACAGAAGTGCTTTTAGATGGCCTAAAACTTTGGATGACATGCTTCATTTTTCAACATGCTCCAACTCTCATACAGGCAGCTATAATATGCACTGGAAATTAATGGGTTTGCTCAAACAGCAAATCAGTAGACTTGCAGTTGCATTAGAGGCTATTGGCTTTTCATTTACTGTCTGTATGGTCTTGGGCACGTGACTTAACCTCTCTTAGCCTGTTTCTTCATTTCAAGTAGAGAACTGTAGGACTACAGTCCCTAAGAACCGTAGAAGCATTAAATGACAAAATGTATTTTTATTTGTGGTAATATAATAGGTGCTCAATGAATATTATCATCTTTCTCTCTCTATAAATGTTTTATGCAATAACTACTACCTGACCCATAATAACTTTGTAAGGATAGTGTCTGTTTCTACTTCATGTTATTCAATATGTTTATTGACTACTATGTGAGGAAACCTGCTATAAGCATGGGGAGCAGTAACAACAAAGTAAGTCCCTGTTCCAAAGGACTTTTATTAGATCAAAGATTGCAAAATACTGGCCTAGGCTTGCACCTGGTCTATGACTTTTGTTTGATCTGTACTTTAAGCCATTATTTTAAATGGAAATAGTCCATAAGATCCAGATCTCTGGCTCCTTTTAGAGATCAAAATATCTGACAGCACGGGGCTCAAATCCAACAGGACAGCAATTGACTGAAGCTGAGCATCTTCTGACATCTTTAAACCAAGTCTGTTCTGTCCAAGTGGAGAGTTTTCCCACCAGAACCTAGTTTCTAACTGAAGCCATTTCAGTTGCCTTTCTATCCTCAGACTGCTGTTGCTTGTCTCCTAACAGAGAAGTATTTCTCTGTACTCATTATCAAAAGCAGGACAAGAACAGAAGGGTTACTTGAAACATGTTTCAAGAAAAAAACAAACAAACAAAAAACATTAGTACTCAGTAGGAGTGGAGTGAAGGCAATTTCTATGCACATAATATAAAACGATACAACTTAAAACGCCACTGTAAAGCTATGGCAATGTTTTTGACTGGGGAAGATGTGCGATGAACAATTTTATAAACGAAAAAAATATATCGTTTTAAGAGAGTGTGTTTTTTTGAATGACCGTGTGATGTTGCCTTCTTCTTGCAACCGCTTGTCGCCCTTTCATTACCTGACCACCCCGCATTGAGCCCATCTCTATGTTGCCAGCCTTGGCGCTGTGCGGGCAAAGTAATCTGCGCTCGAAAATTCTAGGTAACGGTTATCCTTAACACTATTATTACCAAGTTGGGAGGGGTGTAATTATTACGGGTGGACATCAGCTCCGGTACGTTCTAGAAAAGGGAAGTGGGAGAATCCGGCCTCGGAAGACCCCGGTTCGGCGGAATCAAAACAGACGCCCACCGCCGGGAGGCCTCAGCCACCGGAAAAACGGTGCTCCTCGCGGGGTGGTGAGAGTCCTACAGGCCCCTCCCGCCAGGCCCCGCCCCCTCCACGGGAGCCCCGCCCCGCCGTCTCAGTCCTCGTCTTTGTCCCCCAAACAAAGCGCCAGGCCTCGCCGTCGCCAGGCAGCAGCGCACAGCACTATGGGGGAGGAACGGAAACTCCAATGAGCCCAAATTAGTTTGGTGGGAAACCTCCAGACGTGGTGGTGGCGTAAAGCAGACAAACGAGCTTGGGAAGGGACACCGGGTGTCGGTGGGGCCAGACGGAACCCCAGGCGGGCCGAAACCCCAGCGGCGTGGAACGTTCGGATGCACCAGCAACTTGAGGCGGAGGCGGGGCTGGAGGAGGCGGGGCTGGAGGAGGAGGAGGAGGCGATGACGCGCGGGGCAGTATGGGACACAGTCGGCAACGTGGGGCGGGACGGAAGCCTCGTTGGGTCAGACCGTGGCGGCGCGGGAAGTCCGGACGCCTTAGCAGCCTGAAGAGGAGGCCTGAGGCGGAGGTCCGGCCCCGGTGGCCGCAATGGCGGAGAGGCCCGAGGACCTAAATTTGCCCAATGCCGTTATCACCAGGATCATCAAGGAGGCGGTGAGCAGCTAGGCTGATAGCTGGGCCAGGGGCGGACGAGCGGGCAGTGGGAAGCAGGACCGAGGCGTGCAGCTGTGCTCACCCCCGCTCTTCTCGCAGCTCCCGGACGGTGTCAACATCTCCAAGGAGGCCCGCAGCGCCATCTCCCGCGCCGCCAGCGTCTTCGTGCTGTACGCCACATCCTGGTGAGGCGGGCACGGGGCACGCGGGAGGCGCAGAGACCCCCTGGTCCGAGTGCGTGGCTCGGAGCCCGCAATCCCAGTGACCGCCCTACCGCGTGGAGGGAGGGTCACGGCCCTCGCCCAGTTCTTCAAGTTCTGGAGCAAATGAAACAACAGAATAACTTTGATTCAACCCTTCTGTACAGGGAAGGGGGGCGGTTAGCATCTCACAGATATCCGTGCATCAGACGTGGGCATGCCCATGCCACCGCTGGGTGCTCCCCTTTCCACACACTCCTTGGCCGGCCAAGAGGGTCTCCGCCTCCGACAGCCCCGAATCGTTCTTCTTTTCCTGTTTCAGTGCCAACAACTTCGCGATGAAAGGGAAACGCAAGACACTGAACGCCAGCGATGTGCTCTCGGCCATGGAGGAAATGGAGTTCCAGCGCTTCATTACCCCGTTAAAGGAAGCTCTGGAAGGTAGTGACCCCTCGTTTTCTCAGCCAAGCGGATGATGTTCATCCTCTGTGACCGACCGGTACACCTGGTCCTGAGTCTTTCTCAGCTGGGGTCCTTTCGTGTGCAGTAAGCAGGTATTGGACGTGACTCAGACACAGTTCAGTTAGCCCCACCTGAGGTCTGTCTTGTGATACTAGACAGGTTATTTTCCCTCCGCGCCTCAGCCTTTCCGGGTACCCGATGAAGTTAGCTGCCCCCTAACCCCGTCCTTCCTCCTTAACAGCATACAGGAGGGAGCAGAAAGGCAAGAAGGAAGCCTCAGAGCAGAAGAAGAAGGACAAGGACAGAAAAACAGATTCAGAAGAGCAAGACAAGACTAGAGATGAGGACAATGATGAAGACGAGGAGAGGTTGGAAGAAGAAGAACAGAACGAAGAGGAAGAAGTGGACAACTGAATAGGGCGAGGAGACTGGCACCTTGGAAGGTACCCCTCGGAAGTGTGGTGTTGGTTTGTGTGAAGGATTTTCCTACTGGGCAGAGCAGTCTTAGCCAGAAGAGCCTTAGAAGATCAAAATGAAAACTGTCTAGAAGTATCGAAACGAGCGCTTCCCAGACTCAGAGCTTCTGAGTAGCAGAATCCTGTTCTACTTAATCAGTCTGAAGGTTATGACTTTTTGGCAAGAGGGATTCTGAACTGATAATTTGATCTTATTTACTAATATATGTGATTAGGCAGTTTTTGATTCCCAGCTCCCTCCAACCCCCACAAAAAATAATAACTTCCATGCCACCTGCTGTGTTCCAGATCACTGGAGGCCGTCAAAGCTCAGGAGAAATTGGGGTTTAGATCATGGTCAGCCTGTTTGTACAGTATTTGGCAATGCTAGTTTGTGACAAGTGGTCAAAAAGGTTTAGTTTTGGGAAACGACTAAAAAGCTGAAATCTGTTGTCTCTTCACTTGACAGTAACATTAATTTAATTTTGGTTTCTACTGACCCACTTGGCTTGGGGCCCTTCTGTATTGCCTGTAGGCACTTGACCTGTTGGGGTGGCTGCACTCTGGGCACATAGGGTTTTAAATCCTCAGTATGCCAGTGTCTTACTCTTACAAAACCGATGGTTTAGACTTAGATGCACCTCACTGCCTGCCACTGCACAGCTTTAGACTGTTGTCACCTCCTAGAAGGTATAAAATTCCAGGCTTTCTCTTGTAGTCCATCTCCCAGACTTGTGACTTATGACTTTTCATTCTTCCAATTCATGACAAATTCCAAACTTTACTTTTTTTTAGGCCCAACTTTCTTTTCTGTGTTGTTTCTCACTTCCTGCCTCTCCTCTGCTCCCCATTCCCACTTTCTCTTTTTCTCACTCTGCCCATCCAGGAACATTGATAACCTTCTTAATATCCCCAAGTGTGGGCTCCTCTGATTTCTTAGTTCTAATCTCATATCTTATTTCTGTTCTTTCTCCCTCTACACCCCCCCCCCCAATGTCATGTCTTTTAAAAATATTTTTGTAAACCTCTATGAACCTTAAGGAAAATCTGAAGGTGCTCAGGAATCTAATCCCTCTCCCACAACCATCCCCTTTAATTGCTTCTCAAGTACTTCTGTTGACCTTTCGTAGATATGGGTTTTTTTCTCTTTCCATTTAGTGCTCCAAGCACTTTTTTGCTTATCTCTAAGGCAGTTGACAGGTAGTGAAGTGTAGTTTGACACTGTTAATTTGTTAAATTAATACAGTGAAAAATTTGTTGATAAATGAGTGAAGAGTGTTGAGAAAATTATAGTGCTTTGTACAAATAAAGAGCATTCTTGTTCAAAGTGATGACTCCTGTTTCATCCTGCTTGTTTGTAGTGTGCTTTTGGGGAATACCTACTGATTATGTCTTACACGGTTTTGGGGCTGTAGACCGGGCCAGACCTTTGTAAATATGAGATCCTGCATCACCTTAGATGACCAGCAGATGCTGCTCGTTCACAGGCAAGGGAGCTGCTCTTCAGACACTGCAAGAGCTTTCCATGGCTCTGCTGGACATAGATACTTAATAACTCCAAACATTTATTGAGTTCCTGCTGTGTGTCTGGTGCTTTATTACCTAATATACATAGCTTTCCCAAATCATGAATTTATAAATAACATTTCACAAAGATACAACCCCAAAAATCATTATATCCAGTGTTTTTCTTTTCCTTCCCCACAGCAGAAATATCATTTATTAATTCCCATGAGCACCACTTGGCTAAGCCCTCAAGTCCCATCTGGACTCCTGTGGCTTCCTTTGAGTTCAGTTTCCTGCATCATCTCAGCTTCCCCTAGCTTCCCTTGTACTGCTTGCCAAGTGGATCTTCCTGGAACATTGCTGTTACAGTCACTCGCTGTTTCTTTCTTTAATCAAATCTATACTTAATAGATTTTTAAAATTAATTCATTTGATTTGATTTAAATCAAATCTGTTATTCAAGCCTGCTTAAAGAGGGCTTTCCTTACCATCTCTTCTAATCTGTTTCTACTCCAACATAAGGCTGCAGTCAAGAATGAATCCCCAAAACAACCCTCCTTCCACATGGCTTTAGCTCTTACCAAACTTTACCTAAGAAAAGTCATGTTTTCTAAGAGTGGGGACTATGACTTAAAACTAAAAATTGGAGAACTGGGAGAAATATTTGAAGTGACCCATCAGTTTTTCTCACCTCTGTCATTCTTGTAGGGTATTTGGATTTTGAAGATCCTTTACTAGGCTAAGGTAGTGTTTCTCATCTTTTTTTAACCACAGCCCTTCATGCCGAGATTCTGATCTGGATTTGGAGGCATCCTTATCCATGCAAAATTACTTTTGCAGCCTAATCTATCTGCTGATGGGAAATTGAGGCTCATCAGAAAGGAGTGGCTTGCTCAAGAGCTCGCCACTAATTTATGAAAGCTGGGATCCCCACAATCTTTTTTTTTTAACTTTTTATTTTGGAACAATTGTATATTTACAGAAAACTGCAGAGTACAGAGAGTTCCCATATAATCGTCACCTAACTTCCCCTTATGTTAACACCTTAAGTAACCATGGTGTATCTGTCAAAACTAAGAAATATTAAATTGGCCAAACTAGTTTGTATTTCATCTGTTTTTCCATTAACATTCTTTTTCTGTTCCAGGATCCAAACCAGAATACCACATTGCATTTGGTGAATCAGTTTTCTTTTTTTTATTTATTTTTTTAATCTTCACCTGAGGATTTGGTTGTATTATTATTTTTGTTATTATTACTGATTTTAGAGGAAGCGAGAGAGAGAGAGAGAAACATCAGTATGAGAGAGACATTGATACGTTGCCTCCCACACACCATCCTGCCACTGCAAATTAAACCTGCAACCTTTCAATGCGCAGGACAGGGCAATCCTGCATTCTTAGCTTATAGATTGATCCTAGATGGTAACTTCCAGGTGTGCAGTGGTCTGATTCATTAACTGAGGTGTTCAGATGGTTATCTATGGAGTTCAAGTACGTCCAGGTATGGGTGCACAACTGAAAAGTTTAAGTTCCCAGGCTAGTTAAAGCAAGAACAGAATCATTTCCTTATGCCTCACCCTACTTGATTTTAATAATTTAACAGCTTGACCATAGTGGTTTCATTGTATTTCTTCACTCTCTTCCTCATTCCTTTCTACCACCTTCCTTAGTTGAACACAGATCAGAACTCTAGTATCTGGGAACTAAGCCGTGTCATATTTCCTTAGTGTTAAGCCTCTCTACCTCTTTTTTTTTTTTTTTTAATTGATTTTAGAGAGAGAGGAAGGGAAAGGGAGAGAGATGGAAACATCGATGAGAGAGAATATCCATTGTTCGCTCCCTACATGCCTCACACTGGGGACTGGGCCCATAACCTGGGCATGTGCCCTGACAGAGAATCAAACCAGCGACCTCCCAGTGCATGGGTCAACGCTCAACCACTGAACCACAGCAGCCTGGCAGTCTCTCTACCTCTTTATCTTGGAATATCAAGAGGTATAAAACAGGTTTGGGTTACAGATTATGAGAAATAAAATCTGAGACTAAGTGCAGTACAATCAAATGGCGTCCTCCACAGTTCAAAGTTAACTCGATAATCCCTGCTTTACTTTTACAAAAGCATTCCTTTACTAGGGTATTGATCGCGACCACCACTTAACTCACCCAATCCTACCACTTCACCAAGCTCCCAAAGCCTCACTAGACTCCTCCCACTCCTGCACACACTGTTCCAGCCTCCCATAGACCTTTGGTCAGATCTCCCACTGTACTCATCAAACAGGTCTAGTGCCTCGAGTGCCCATGTCATTCCAATCACACCTCCCAGGCGTGGACAGAGTAGACCCTCAGCAATTACGCTGGAATCCATTTTCTCCTAAAACTTGGAAGGCAGTCTGGTGCTGAACTCAAAAACTGTAAAATGCTCAATCCGCAAAAATGAATTTAGCAATGGGTTAGGCATTAAGGCATTTCGGTGTTGTTTCAATGTCCTTGACGTCCCATTATTCTTCCAACAAATAATTTTCCAGCTCTAGTATGCTCTAAACTAGGACGAGGAGGCCTCGAAAGAGACCTTCCGGGCTATAACCGCTTCGGAGGACCGGAGGAAGGTTCACTCCCCCAGCCCCTGCGCCTCTCCACCTCTCGACTGCCGCGCTGTAGGCCCGCGGCCGCCTGTCCCCGCCCAGGCGCTGGCCCGGCGCGGGAAGGGGCGGGCTCGCCAGCCCTTCGGCACACCCGATTGGCCAGGCCTTGAGACTCACGTGCTTGTGTGAGGCTGGGGCTGAAATTGATCAGCCCTCGGGCAAAGTGCCCCCAGGGGTGTGGCCTGCAGGGAAGTGGGGCGGAGTGTCGGGAGGGACGCTGCTTCCGGGACGGAGCCCGCCCCCAAGTGTGCCAGGACAGGCTCGAGTGCTTGATAGCAGTGGCGGGAACGTAGACCCGCAGCTCTTGGGAGGTAAGGTAAGCGGGGACCGGGACTTGGGGAGATGGCGGACTTGGAGGGGGAGGCTGTGGCGCCAAGAGTCCCGCGTCCCCCGGCCCAGATTGTGCTGTGCTTCTGAAGCGCTGGCAGTGCACAGGGAACCGTCCTGTAGGGCCGGTGTTTAGGCTCTTAGAGGTTGATTGCCCTGCTACAGCCGGGGCTGGGGTCTTCGCGGGGCCGTAGCCCGTGCGGGTCTGTGTCCGGGCTCCGCATCTCCTCTCTGGGGTTCACTCCCTTGGATACCGCTGGAGCAGCCTCTCGATAAGGGCAGAGCACGAGGTACCATCGCCGATGTGGGAGGGAGGTGGAAATAATAAAAACTGTTTTGTGCTAGACTTGTATGTACGTACTTGACTGCATTGGCCCATTATAACAGCCCATTGAGGGCGGTCCAAGTCCTCATTTACCACATAAGGGCAACGAAAGTCACACAGCTGGAAAGTGGCAACTAGGATTTGAATCCATGTGTACAGACTCCAAAATCCACACACTTAACTGTCATGCTGCCAGCTGCAGCCAGGTCAAGAGTCACTGGTCTGCTTCTCTCCCCCACCCCCTTCACCCATAGCTCTCCACAGCCCAACTCTGCTGTGGGCTTTGAAACCTATACTTAAAGTATCAAGGAGTAATACTGGGCATTGTGAACTGTGCTGCTGGAGACCTGAATTCTGTCTTGCATGATCTTGGGCCAGTGTCTGTCCTTTGAGCCCGGTTTCACCATCATTTTCATGATATAATCAATAAGCTTTACTGACACTCTTAGCCAAGATGTTTTAGGAGTCTGTGGACTTGGCAAATTCTCGTCATAGCTCCAAACAGCTAAGCGCAGAGGAAACTGGGCTCTTCAAAGCTCTAGGTCAAGGCCCAGGTCTCATTCTTCTCTTTAATTCCTGTATGGAGCACTGGGACAGGCCTAGAGTAGACTTTCAGGAAATGTGAGTTAAATAAACAAGTTGGTCCCTTTTCAGAACTGCGGAACAGCTGCTGTCCTGGGTCCCTCTGGGGCTTTGGATATTTCAGTCCTGGCTGCCTTCTACCTAGCTGGCCCTCCTGACTGCCTCCTCCACAGCTAGTGGCAGAGCCTGCCAGAGCTGGCAGCAGCTCCCCAAACCTCTGGCCAAGACCGTAACCTCTGGAATCCTGAGCTGAGCACAACGTGGGGGATTCAGACCCTGCCGCTGTTTCTCAGCCCCTCCTAGTAGCAGCTCTCAGGGCCCAACTTAGCTTACTCCCAGGTTGGGGAGGTTGACTTCTAAGGAAAGAGATACCTTTACAATCGGTCTCAAAAGCTACTTATCCCCAGTGTCCCCTCTTCCATGAAGCCATCCTTGACTCCCAGGTAACACAGGTCCCTCCCACAGTACCCTGTCCACTCCTCGATTGTAGCATCTGTGTAGTGATTATTTCTCCTTCCCCACGCATGCTGCTGGAAGGCAGGGATCCCCCCACCTCGGGTGTCTTGGAAGGCCCTGTTGCCCACACAGGTTGGAGTGAAAATTCTCCCTTCTGGGTGTGGTGCAGAAGGCACAGCTGTGATGTCACGCCAGGAGATCTAGTTCCAACTCAGTTCTGTTTCTGATATAAAAGTAATTACCTGTTTACTGTGCGGCTAGGCACGTACCTCTTCATTATCTCTAATCTTTGCCACCTTCCCAGTTTGATTAACTCCCATTTTCTGGTTTACAAAATGAAGATTCTGAAAGCCCAGTAACCTTTCAGAGTCACACAATGAGCACAGACCAGACCAGGGGCTCTTTGACCCTGAGATGTAGTTTTTTCTGGACTACACTATATTGTTTGCCTTCCAGCTAAAGCAACCTGTTCCTTTTTTGTTTTTTAATCCTCACTCGAGTATATTTTTCCACTGAATTTTTTTTCTAGATAGAATGGGAAGAAGGGAGAGAGAGAGAGGTCGATGTGAGAGAGACACATCAATTGGTTCCAGGGCCAGGGATGGAACCCGCAACCTAGGTACATGCCCTTGAACGGTAATCAAACCTGTGACTCTGGTCCAAGAACTGACGCTCTGACTACTGAGCCAAACAGGCCAGGGCTAAGCTAACCTGTTCGAATGTGGCTGAGCGTAGGTGCTGGGGCCCATGGTGACTTGCTCTTGACTTGCAGTGACGTGTCAGGACTTAAACATGCCTTGCAGGCTCCCTTGACTTGGGAGAAGTACCCTCCCAAGCGTATGAAAATCTCCCAATCTTTGAGGGACATTTTGCAAAGCCAGACCTCTGCCTGGCTTTGGCTCTACAAACAGAGATGCAACTCTGTTGCTGAGGGGTGTTTTTTGTACCCACAGATAGTGATTTAGCACCTGTTGGAACAGAATGACCGTGTGCTGCAGGCACTGGCACTGGACTAGAAGTCAGGAGATCCATGGTCAAGCCCAACTCTGTACCTAACTAATTCACTATGTGATGTCAGACAAATCCTGTTGCCTCTCTGCACCCAGTTTTCCACATCAGAATGTAAGAGATAAACAGGATTGGTGATTTTCAACTCAATTTTTTTTATTACCAACACCCATTTCTCAAATCAAATCTCTCGGAACCTTAAAATTAAAAAATAAATAAATAACAGATTAAAGTGGAACTACCCTAGTGAGGCCTCCCCCTCGCCACTCTCAACCTCCTCCCCAGTCTCCCACCCCCAGTCTCCTTGGGATGAAATTTGGACTACAAAGCTCCAAGGCAGCCCTGCCCTGTCACTTCTGATAAACAGAAGGCATTTGCTTCCCCAGCTAAAGTAGAAGTGAGGTTGAGGCCAGTGGAATGCAGCTTTGGATTCCAGAAGCTGGGAGCCTTCTGCAAAGATTGCTGTCTGAGAAGTGAGTCAGAGATGTATGTAGACCCTGCTTCAGAATCTGATTTGATTCCAGAATGACATTGAGCAAGTCACTTAACCTTTGACCCTCCATTCCCTTATCCCAAAAAGTTAGAATGATTCTTGTTGCCTTGTTTTCTCATCTCTCCAGCCACCAAAACAAAGATAGTAGAAGCAGAGAGTGCCTACTGAATCAAGTGTTTACCAGGACTATTAGATAAAACCCTGAACTCATTGCCTATAACAAATTCAAATTCTGGTTCAGTTACTAACGGTGTAGTCTTGGGCACGTCACTTAACCTCTCTGAGCTAGGCTAATAATCCCTGGCAGACCTGAGAGCAAAATCTTGCACAAAATGGGTACTTAGGACTTTGTAACTGCTGAGTGATTGCTCATTTGGGGGTTGGGACATTGTTGGGGAGGCCTGGCTTCTGTGTCAGATGATATGGCTGGCTCAAGGGTCGGGTAGCAGGGTGGGTCCCTGTGTCGCCCTTGATAAACACAACCCTGACCAGGAGGAGGATTGATAAAAAGGGGCCTGTGAGACTGGGGAGAAAGACAACATCCACGTACTAAAGGACTCCCCAGACCCGGGAGTGTGTAACCTCGGATAAGTCCCTGTCTCTCTCTGGGCCCTGAGGTCCCATTCACACAAGGACAGATGAGTGGCTCTTGGCTCCCCACCCCCCCCCACTTGGCTACTGAGTGTTCCCCCAGGCACCTTGTCTGAAGGTGGAGTAGGGGTACATCGACCACCAATCTGTAAAGGTACCTTAAGATGGAAAAATAAGCAGGCAAGTTTATTGAATATAACAGAATTTATTACAGGGTAATCACTTACAGGAAGATTGGGTCGGAGCAGAAGAGACAACCCCACCGTCGGCACAGATTAGTTTCCACTGCTAGACAGTTACCACAATAAATGCTTTATAGTATAGCTGAACTACTAATGATTGACAGCACGAAGGGACAAAGAATGCAGTGAGCGCGGAACCGTACCTCCTGGTGGTCTTTTGATGGATAACTGCTTAGAATTAATGCCAACACCTCGTTTGGTATTTATCTCGGTTGCTACGCCATTCAGGAATCTTTATGGTTACACTGTGTGAGCTTACAGGACGCAGCTAATCATTAACTGTGAGACTTTGGTGCTGGCTGAGACTAGTTAGGTCAGAGCTCTCAGCATGGAGAAACAAAAGCAGAGATGCAAAGATGAAGTCAGCTTTGTTCACATCAACATCTGTACACACCTCCAAAAGGATGTGTCTGAAAGTAAGCTCTCTACCTCCTCTCCAAGGTCTGCTCCCCTGTCCTCTTCCTGCCTTGTTCCTATCTCCGTTGCCCTTCAGGTCAGACAGCTCAGTGTCCACCCCAAGAGACTGCCTGTGGTCACTTTATGAAGGCCCTTTCTTCTCCACCCCTCTGACCCCTCAGCCTCTGTGCTCCTCAGCTTTCCACCGGCTGTGTTTGGGCTATAAGAATTTTCTTCCTAAAGCCAGGCTCCCGTCAGGCCACTCCCCCCGCCCCCTGGTCAGAAACCTTCCCTGTCCTCAAACTGGCCCCCTCTCGTCCCCTCCCCTCCATACACACATGGCTCGATTGCCTCCTTAGGTCGTGACAATAGTCATCCCTCCTTCCCCACCTTTACTCCTTTCTTCCCTTCCTGGGAGAATGTTCTCCTCTTTCCCTCTGACTAGCTGAACCCACACATCCTGCAAAACCAAGTCCTCATCTTCTTTCAGCAAGCTTCATCTGACCTCCAGATTCACACTGGAACTCAGTTCTTTTACGGCAGGCTCCACCTCTCTGAGATACACCCAGGCAGCCCTACCTCCCAGGACTGTAGTGCCAGCTCGATGGCAAAGCATGTGTACAGGAGCCCAGCGTGGCCTGGCAGACAGTAGGTGCTCAAGAAACAGGCGATAATGCCTCAGCTTCCTTCCGTCTTACATCCCTTATTTGACACATTGCCTGGTATTTCATGTAATTAATATTTACTATGTGGCAGAGTATGTGGGGAAGGCAAAAAAATGAACTCACTGTGAACCCTGCCCTGCAGAAGCTCTGTCTACTGGGACAAGATAAGATAAGTCCGCAAAGACCTGCTATATAAGAGAAGGTGTGATCTGGGCAAGAAGAGAGCTTCGTGGGCCAGGGAAGGAGGGAGAGCCTTGTGGACAACCAGGTAGGATTTGGGGCTGGAGAAGCTGAGTGGGCACAAGCCTTCTGGATAAAGGGAATGGAGTGAACAGAGCCAGAAGCTGGCCACGTGCACCTTGTGCTGGGGGAGCAGCAGGAGACTGTGTCTGGCAGAGACAACATCAGTGGCCAGACTACAGGGTGTGTGTGTCTGTCAGGCGTGGTGCTGTTTAATCCTCTTAGTGTGTGTCCTTCCTGACAAGAAGTCCATGTATGAAGGGGTTTACTGTGTGCTTTTCTCTAAAGGTAGAATTACAGGGGATTTTTCTCCTTTGGCTTATGTAAAATTTCTGCCAAGTACATGGACCTTTTTCATGGAATAAACAAAGTATACATGTTCGCTAGATCCGTGCCCCTCATACTTATTTCCAATCCAACCCAGATTGATTTTTTTATTTAAAAAAATGAATTACTAGAAAAATGTTATTTAAAAAGAAAAAGAGAGGTCATATAAATACAAGCCCAAATTTTAGATTATCCGGTTCAGGTTGCTATGAGGATTTCTTGAGGCCTACTTTCATCTCTCTGCTGACCCTGCAGACCAGCAGGGATCAGCGAACCACGCTCAGGGCAACGCTGGGGTGGAGAGCAGGAGAGGCAGGAATCCGGAAGAGCTCAGGGGGTACATGAACACCTCCTGCGAACAGGGACCGTGTCTCATGTTCCTCCCATTGCCCCCACATAGCTGAGTTCCGAGCCCATTCCCCAGGAGCCCTCAGTTCCAACCAGCTGGCTGCCCTGCGCCCTCACTGCTCACCATGCAGCCCCAGTCTGTTCTGCACAGCGGCTACTTCCACCCCCTGCTTCGGACCTGGCAGACCGTCACCACCACCCTCAGTGCCTCCAACCTCATCTACCCCATCTTTGTCACGTGAGTCCCCAGAATGAGCCAGGTCTCTGATCCGCAGGGTGTGGGCGGGCGGGCGGGCGTGTGTGTGGCCAGAGCAGGCATCTGTTGCAGGTGATAAAGTGAGCCGTCAGCTTGGAGCTCAAGGTATTGGAAGTGGCTTACTGGGTTAAGGACACCTGTCTTAACCTATTAACTGAGTGGGACGTATTTACACATCCTAGCGAAAGATATATGCTGTGTAATTAAAAACAGAATTCCCCGGTTAACAGGTTAAGAACAAAACAAACCTTGAAAAGACCTTGATCCTCCCATTTGAAAAATAAGAATAACCCTTACCTGCCATCCTGAGCTTTTGCAATAGGACAGAAGCTGAGACGGTATTCTATAGATTGTAAAGTGCTATGTACATGTAAGAGGTGGCAGTTGTGATTATTAATAATAGCAACAGCTGACATTTATTGAGTACCTACTGTGTACCAGGTACTATGCTAAGCATCTACATCTATTATCTTTCAGTCCTAACAACATCCATGTGAGGAAAGTATGGATATCATCCCCTAGATTGTCATCTCCACAAGGGCAGGGATTTTTGCCTGTTTTGTTCATTGTTATACTATACAGAGCCTAGAACAGTACCTGGCACGTAATAATAAGTGCTCAATAAATGTTTGTTGTATGAATGAATGAATGAATCCACCCAGGATACAGATGAAAGGTCTGAGGCTCAAAGAAATGGTACAGCTTGGCCAAGGTCACTCTGACTTCAGAGTCCAAATTCTTAACCACTGACTGCTTCCTATGATTACTTATCTTTTAGTACAGTGCTCTTGTTGTCACTGCTATTCTTGTTCCTATTATTATTTCAGGCCCTGGGCTTGGCCAGGCAGGGGAACCAGACACTGGACCCTGTCCTCTTCCCACCGTTTGCACTTCCATATTCCTTCCCAGCTCCCCAACCACCCCCTCAGTCAGCCCTCATCACTGGCCCATCCCACAGTTCCACAGCTACCAACCCGTAGCCCACGCCCACTCTTGCAGGGATGTTCCTGATGATGTACAGCCTATTGCCAGCCTTCCAGGAGTGGCCAGGTAGGAGACGCGGGGGGCGGGGGCAGGGGGATGATGGAGGGAGAGATTTTACAGATGGAGGTGCTGGGAAGCAGAAGCAGACCCAGCATGTAGAAGAGCCAGAGTATGACTTCAGCTCCGTAGAGAAGGGTTCTGTCAGGGTCAAAGTTGTTCCGCAGCAGAAGAGGCAGCCTTGTAGAGTAACGGGCTACCCATCACTAGAGGCATCATAGCACAGTCTTGGGGCGGAGAGCTTCACTTCCCATGGGAGTTCAAGAAAAGAACCTCAGAGGGGACTTCCACAGCTGCATCGCATAGTTCTGCCACTTGGGGCCTCAGCTTTCCCATATGTTTGGTGGGTTCTTTCCTGCCCCACCCTGTACCATGGGGCTGAAACCCTCCTGGTACTATGTGCAACGTGGCTCTTCACAGAGGCACAGTGTGGCAGGGTGGGGAGGACCCTATCCCGGGCCCGCCTCACTTGGGCCCCTCCATGCAGGTATGGGGTGAACCGGCTAGAAGAGATGCTGAGGCCCCTGGTGGAAGAGGGCCTGCGCTGTGTCCTGGTCTTTGGTGTCCCCAGCAGAGTTCCCAAGGTGAGGAGTTGGGGGAGGTATAGGAGGGGAGGGGAGGGTGTGGTTGGGTGAAGGTGAGCGGAGGTTCCACACTGACCACACGCTCATTCAGGCCGTGTGCTGGCCCTGGGACCACAGGTGAATGCACATGGGCCCTGTTATTAAGACAACACCCATCCCCTGGCCGGTTTGGCTCAGCAGTTAGCTCATTGTCCCGAGGACTGAAGGGTCATGGGTTCAATTCCTGGTCAAGGGCACGTACCTGGTTTGCAGGTTCAATTGCCAGCCCCAGTCAGGGTCGTGCAGGAGGCAACCAATCAATGTGTTTCTCTCTATATCCCCTCTCCCTCCCTACCTCCCACCCTCCCATTCTCCCTCTTTTCCACTTTATCTAAAAATCAATGGAGAACTATTCGTGGGTGACAATTAAAAAAAAAGACAGCACCCATGTAGGGTCAAGAAGTTAAATATAATACGACCATGACACCCGGAAAGGGCAAGTCAAGTCTCGTCCGCAAAACAGGGACAGTCCTCACCGTGCCTCCTCGTCCAGAGGCTGTGATGATGCTGAAAGGAAGGGGCTGGGGCTGTACTCTGAGAGCCATTGTGCCTCCTGAAGGCTTCATGGGACAGACACACTGCTTGGTCCTTCCCTTGCCACTAGGACGAGCAGGGCTCCGCAGCTGACTCCGAGGACTCCCCGGCTGTGGAGGCGATTCGTCTGTTGCGCAAGACCTTCCCTGGCCTCCTGGTGGCATGCGACGTCTGCCTGTGCCCCTATACCTCCCATGGTCACTGCGGTGAGTTCCCTGCCTCCACCATCCCTGCTGCCACCTGCATTCCCACTGCCCCCTTCTCCCCACGGTGGGAAAGGCCAGGGCTCACGCCTCCTGGCCGTCTGGCACGCAGGGCTCCTGAGTAAGAATGGGACTTTCCAGGCCGAGGAGAGCCGCCAGCGGCTGGCAGAGGTGGCTCTGGCCTATGCCAAGGCAGGTGAGTGAGCCACCAACAGGGATGGGGGCCTCTGGGTCAGGGAGGGGGCAGAGTAGACAGGAGGACCCCGGAGTTCTGAAGGCTGCCCTCTGTCCCTCAGGATGTCAGGTGGTAGCCCCCTCGGACATGATGGATGGACGCGTGGAAGCCATCAAGGAGGCTCTGATGGCACATGGATTTGGCAACAGGGTAGGGGCAGGGAGTGTGGGGAGGGGTGTGGAATAGGGCGAGAGAGCCCTGCCCCCACATCTGCCAGGAGTCCCAGCACTGAAGACAGACTGGGCAAGGTCTTTGGGATCTGTCTCAACCTCTGCTCCTGAGATGGGGACGGCAGGGCCCAGAGCTCCAGCGGGACTGGAACGCAGGCACTCCACTTCCCAGCCTAGGCCCCTCTCCTGCCATGTGACCCTGGGCCTCTGGGCAGAGCTGACTGAGCCTCAGCCCCCGTTGTCTCTCACAGGTGTCAGTGATGAGCTACAGTGCCAAATTTGCTTCCTGTTTCTATGGACCTTTCCGGTAAGTGGGGACAGGCAAGGGTCCGCAGGAAAATCCCTGCCACGTTAGCCCAGAGCGGCAGCCACCCGAATGCCTGTGCTTCTCAGGGAGGCAGCTCAGTCAAGCCCAGCGTTTGGAGACCGCCGCTGCTACCAGCTGCCGCCCGGAGCACGAGGCCTGGCCCTGCGGGCAGTGGTGAGTGAGCAGAGCTTGAGCCCCAGCCACCTGCCCCCTCGCCCTGGGCTCCAGGCACTGCCACACCACATCTCGTCCCTTAGGACCGGGATGTCCGGGAAGGAGCCGACATGCTCATGGTGAAGCCAGGAACGCCCTACCTGGACATTGTGCGGGCGGTGAAGGACAAGGTGAGCGCAGAGCAGGGACAGGGGGGGCTCAGGGAGATGAGAGAGTGTGTTCACAGCTCTGGGACTCGAGGTTGAGGGACTGCAGGATTTCCGAGTGAGAGGCAATCTGCCCTGACTGGGAACCCTCCCCTCCCTGCCCCTCCTGGGAACCACCAGTAGGCAGAAGCCTCAAGAAGGCTCTGCTCTAACAGTTTCCTAATGGGCTCGGCTGTCACCAGCCGTGACCCAGGACTTGGGCTCAAGGTTGTCACATGGTGGGCAGGGAACAAGAGACACCCCCGGGGGTACACCCACCCTCCACTTCTGCTTACTGCTGCTTCTCTGCAGCATCCTGAGCTCCCCCTCGCTGTGTACCATGTTTCTGGAGAGTTTGCCATGCTGTGGCACGGAGCCCAGGCCGGGGCATTTGATCTCAAGGCTGCTGTACTGGAGGCCATGACCGCCTTCCGCAGAGCAGGTAAGCAGGTGGGCGGGGTTTTGTCTATGACAGGGATAAGATACCTGATGCATGGCTGTCATATGGATTAAATAAGATGATATGTGTAAGCGGCATGTCACTCCATAAATGGGAGCTGGTATCGTGGGTGTGGCACACAGTGTGGGAAAGAAACTTACAGCTTCTCTCTTTCCCGACTGTGCATTTTGTACATCGGCACACTGAAGTCCAGAAAGAGAACATGACTTCTCCACAGTCATGCAGTGTACAGAGAGAGCTAGAACTGACCAGAGCTGGGCTCAGGCTTACGTTGTGTCGCCCACTGACTGTGCCTCTTCCTAGTGGCCTTCTTCCTCCACTGGCCCTCATCTCCCAGGTGTGCCCAGAGCTGATGCCCTGCCCCTCCCCTGTTCCCTGTTTCTCTCCCACAAAGGTGCCGACATCATCATCACCTACTACACACCTCAGCTACTGCAGTGGCTGAAGGAGTGATGGACAGAGTGTGCACGGCCCAAGAACTAGACCTTGACAAAGGTCCCGGGGCCTTGGAGAAGTGAAAACAAAAGTAGATGCTGCTTTTACAACTATGCCCTTGTGCCCTCTCCCTGCTCACATGCTGGCAGGTGCCCAGCAGTTCCAGATTGTTTCTGCCAGCTTGCCAAATCTTACCACTCTTAGCCACATCTTCATGGGCTCAGCCAAGCTTCTCCACCCTCCCCTGGGTCAGCCCTGAGGCTGCCTCTACCTCCCCAGCTCCTTCCTCTGGTGTGGCTGCAGCTCGAGAGCTCCCAGGAACACAGCTGGACCGTGGCTCCTCGGAAGTTCCGGGAAGCCTGAGGCTCTGGCAGCATTGCTGGGCGCTCGGATGAAGCCTAAGTTGACATGTCCAGGTTCAAAGTTGAGATTTGCTGCGATCCCACTGGAAGTCAGTTCCCACAAGGGCCAGTGGTGGCTGAGATCTGCCCTACTCTGAGCCATAAACCCAGGAAATAATGACTCGTTAACAAGCAGAAACCTTGCCTGGGGATCAAAATTCAGAAGCAAAGAGAAAGTTCCTGGTCGTGGAGATGCCACCATCGAAAAGGCTTTTTAGTAAAGAGATGTCTTTTTGAGAGTTGTGCTCTGTGCCCAGGCAAGGTGCTGGGAACTGAGGATCTAGCCGGACAGACCTCAGCTTGTCTCTCTGTAAGGAAGCTCTACAAAGAGAATGGGAGAGACAAACAACAAGAAAACAGACAAATGAAGCAGTTACAAATTATAATGTGTGCCTTAAAAGAAAGAGGGTCTGAGACAGAATAACAGATGAGGGTGGGGCAGCTCCCTGAAGTCAAAGGAGGGTCCTTACAGAGAGTAGAGGGAAGCACACCAGAAGCCACCGGAGTGACACCAAGTGTGCAAGGATCCTGCAGTGAGGAGCTTGGCAGCACCGCGGGATTCAGGGTGCAGGGGAGACCAGGTGACAGGACTGGAGATTAGAGAGGTAGATCGGCACCTTCTATGAAACTTGGGATGTATTTTGCATCTGATACAAAGACAGCTAAAGGCCAGGCCGGGGTGTGACTCAGTGGACTGAGTGCCATCCTATATCTGAGAGGTCCCGGTTCTATTCCTGGTCCGGGTTGTGGGCTCGGTCCCTAGTAGGGAGCATGCAGGAAGCAGCCAATTGATGTTTCTCTTTCACATCTCTGTTGCTCTCTCTCTCCTCATTCCTCTCTCTCTAAAAAATCAAGAGAAAAATATTAAAAAATACAACTGAAGGATCCTAACCAGGTATGTATGGTCCACTTTCCCACATTCTACTGGTATGGGGAAAATGGGGGGTTGTGAGAAAACAAGCCTGGTTAGAAGGCTACTGCAGACCCCAGGGAGCAATGGTGGTGGCCCGCACCACAGTGGTAACATGGAGATAGGAGGAAGCAAATGTATTCAGGATACATTTTAGAGAAAGAACTAGCAGATTTGCCAATACTTTAAATCCGGGGCGGGGGCGGGGGCGAGGGTCAGCTCTCAAGGGTGAGGCATCGGGAAGAAAGAAGGATGCCTCCATGGGTTTCAGGCTTGAGAAACTGGATACTGGTTTCAGTTTTCTGAAACCAACATGACGCAATGTTTCCCCTAGTGAAAGTTAAGGCCCAACTAAGGAGAGGTGTTTGCAAGTCCACCTGCCTGTCTGCAAAGTGACAGGGCCTCCCAACTCCAGGCCCGTGGTACTTCAGTTTGGACTGTAAAGCAGTTCCGCCCGTTTTAAAATCTAGAATTATACACTCTGCAGCTCCTGCAGTCAGACCGGTCTCCTCCACCTCTAGGTAATGTCCCCCAGAGCTGTGGCCGCCTCACTAAAGACTTGACCTCAGCCTGTGGGTAGTGGCCAGCCAAACTCAGGGTTTGAAGAGTCACAAAGCTTCACCGTGCAGGGAGCCTGAGCCTGATTTACCCTCCTATGGATCTGATACACTCATTGGAGATGAGCCATCAATGGCTCAGTGCCTTAGGGGTTAGACTGCACCAGAACAATAGACCACCTTGGATTTGTGCCTACTGACTCCAGGCCCCTGGCCTCTGAGCTCATTTCTAGTTAAAATGATTGCTGTTTTAAAAAAGGTTCTTCAAGGCCATCGCAAACTCATCATCACCAATCAAATACGGGGCCTGGCCCTGGCCAGTTCGGCTCTGGTTAGAGTGTCAGCCTGCGGACTGAAGGGTCTCAGGTTTGATCTCCTGCCCCGGTCATGCAGGAGGACACCAAGCGATGTGTCTCTCTCACATGGCCCTTTCTCTCCCTCCCTCCCTTCCACTCTCTAAAAATCAATGGAAAAGATACTTGGGTGAGGATTAACCAAAAAAGAAAAAGATATACAGGGCCTGGCCGTGTTCTAGGCACAGAAGACAGTAGACAGACACTGCCCTTTTGAACAAGCAGTCCATAGAAAGCACATAACTGTCCAGACCCCACGCCCACCTCCACACACACACAAGGGGCAACATTAAGTGGAATGGGTCTCCCTGGGAACCAGGGTCACCAGTGGCTATGAAGGCAGTCACCAGGAACAGACCTGGGTTGAAAGATCAGAAAATGCTTCCCTGAGGGACTGACATTTAAGCCTAGTCTGAAGGGTGAACTACTGTGGGTGGTGGCAGGAACCGCACCTGGTGTTAGACCGGTGGGTTCAGCAATCTTGGTACTTGAGTTGTGGCTAAGAAAGATTTCAGAGCCAAGACTCAGACTATTAGAGAATGTTTATTTATAAAATCACAGAGAGGGAAGAAGAAATTTGTAGAAGAAATGGGCCTTGGAAACAAGTTATAGAGGCAAAGGAAGGGCCCTTGGAGCTTAGAAATGAGGAAGGCAAAGATGATATGCTTGGGGGGGGAGGCATGGTCCCATTTTAAAGGTGGAGATTTTAGGGAAGGTCCCAGGGGAAGATCTCTATAGACTGTTCAGCAGCTTTTCAGGTGTGTCCTTTCAGCATCAGGGTCTCCAGTGATTGACTGGTCAGCACCAGGGCAGGGGATCACTATTCAATGCAGCTGACCCTGTGGGGACACAAGTTCTCCCTCATGGCACAGAAGGCTGACGAGGTCTCAGAGCTTTTGTACCAGGGGTTCCCGTTGCCTGGAAATGATTTTTCCCAAAATCTGTATGGCTATCTCCTGTTCTTGCTAAGATCTTGGCTTAAGTGTCAGTTTCTCAAGGCAACCTCTCCTGACACCCAAAGTCATTCCCCAGTCTCCCTGGTTTAGTCAGGATTCAAGTTCCGTGGCTATAACAAAAGCCAAACTAATGATAGCTTAAGATGGAAGCTTTCTGAGCAGTCCAGAGCTGTGTCAGCACGTGGTGTGGGAGGCCTTGGCTCCTGCCTCGTCTGTCATCCTCAACACGTCTCCCCTTCTAGCCCATGGTCAAAGATGGTGGGTCCAGTTCCACCATCAGGTCCTCTCCAGCCACCAGGAAGAAGAGAAGGGCAATTGGAGGGCATGGCCCCACTTTATGGGCACATCACTTCCGTGCACATGTCCTTGTCTGTACTCTGTCATGTGGCCACACCCAGTTAAAGAAGTGAAGCTGGAAAACAGGCAGTCAGGTACTCAGCTAAACTCGGGGGTTCAACACTAAGGAAGGTGGAGAGAATGGATATTGGGGCCAATGGCCATTCCCATCACAGAGTGTCTTGAAATCACAGAAACAGTGGTCAGAATAGCCAAGAGGCCCTTAGAGATGGGAGTCAGACCCAGAAAGCGGCTTCATTCCAAATAGACACAAGCCATGGGGATGGGAAGACATAAACCACAGAACTTATATGCATGTACGCATAACCAATGGACATGGACAACAAAGCCGGGGACAGGATGGGGGGGTGCCGATGGGGTATAAAAAGGAGAAAAATCTTTAACAAAAATAAAATTAAAAAAACAAATAGACACAAGCCAGGGACAGACCACTGCTGGGATTCAGGTCTCCTATCTCCAAGCCCAGTGCTCAACACAGGGGAAGGGGTTGCAAAGGAATGGGGTGAGGGAGGGACTTTAGCTTTTTATGTATTATCTTTGCTAAAACTTAATTTTTATACCACGTGTGATATGTATCTACCAAGGATATATTCATGTATTATTTGTATAAATAAATAAAAATTTGGCCGATACATCTATGAAATGGTGTTATCTTCATTAGGCAACAGAGAAATTCAAATTAAAACTACAATGAGGCCCTGGCTGGTTTTGCTCAGCAGTTAGAGCATCTGTCCAAGGACTGGAGGGTCTCAGGGGATTCCTGGTCAGGGGCACATACCTGGCTTGCAGGTTTGATCCCCACCCTGGTTGGGGTCGTGCGGAAGGCAACCACACAATGTGTCTCACATGATGTTTCTCTCTCTCTTTCTCCCTCCCTCCCTTCTACTCTAAAAAATTAATGCAAAATTATCCTCACCTAAGGATTAACAACAAAAAACTCACAGTGAGATGGCACCATACGTCCATCAGAATGTTGAAAACTGTTGAGAACATAGAGCAACTGGAATCCTCAGATATTACTGCTACAACCACTTCAGAAAGCTGGCCCCATCTACTGAAGCTGAACATATCCTTACTGTCTAGTGATTTCACATCTAGGAATTTGCCCAACAGAAATGTGTCCATATGTCCGCTATGAGACATATTTGAGAATGTTCATAGCAACATTTTCTAATATCTGTAGGAACAGAAAACTGGAGCTAACCCAAATGTCTACCAACAGTAAAATGTAGTATAGTCATACAATGGAATATTACACGTATGAGAACAAATGACCTACACACAGCAACATGAATCAATCTTACAAATAAAATTTTGAACGAAGAAGACAAGAGAGTGCATGTTGTATTCCATTTGTATACAATTCAAAAACAAATACATATGGAGTTAGAAGTCAGGATAATGGTTGAAAGGATTAGTAATGTTTTACATGTTCATAGGGCCCCTAGTATTAGCCTTCTTATTATTGCTTTTCGGACCCTGACTCTTGCACCTGATTACTAGGTTTGTACAAAATCGACTGCAAATTTTAGTCAACCAGACAGTTGGACAATTTGTTACCTGTCAAAGGTAAAAGTTTGCAAAAGGCACAAACTGGAAATTGTGTTGCTGGCAGGACCTTGGCTCAGCCTTTAGTTGAGTATGAATAAGGTTTATCTTGATTACCCGCAAGGCAATGGACAATCCAGCAGAAGTCAGCCCTACTGCAAGGTGGACAATGGGCCAGATAAAGTACATCAGCAGGAACTGCGGGAAGCTAAAAATAGGGTATATAACCGACACCCCAACTCTAATTCGCGGCTGACCCCTTCTTGGCTCAGCCTGCCTGCACCCAGGCGCATGCAATAAAGCCATTTTGCTCTACTTTGGCCTTGTGTTGTGGATGTGGTCTCGCACAGGCTCAGTCCTTTTAGTGGTTACCCTTTGGAGGGGTAAGAGACTGGAAGAGGACAGGGGCTCCAGGGTTCTGGAAATGTCCTTTTTCTTGGTCTGGGCGTTTGTTGCATAGATACTGTCAATTTGTTGAACATATCTCTGGTCCCTTATGCATGATATATTTTAATAAAATTAACTGTAAAAATAAGTGGATGAAAATGTAAAAGTAAAAAGACTGACATGCCTGAGTTTACTTAGTGATTTCAATGTGAGAATCTCAAGGAAAGAGCCCTCATGTAAGAAACTTGTTTTCTCAAAGAGAAACAACCAGCATCCAATGTAGTGGCATGACAGGTGTCTCCAGGAGCTATCACCAGGCCAAGACACACAGGACAGATCAAGGAATAAAAAACTCTGAGGATTTCTGTCATCTGACTTAGGGAGGACACTTCACCCATTAAGTGTACCCATTTTTTTTTTTTAACTTTTCTTTTTATCCTCACCCAAGGACATTTTTCCATTTTTTGTTCAGATAGAGTGGGAGGGAGAGAGAGAGAGAAACACTGATGTGAAAGGGACACATTGAGTGGCTGCCTCCCGCACGACCCAACCAGGGCCAAAGACAAACTACAACCGAGATACGTGCCCTTAGCGGGAACCGAACCAGGATGTCTCAGAACCGCAGGCCGGCGCTCTAACTGCTGAGCCAAACCGGCCAGGGCTAAGTGTACCCATTTTTGAACTGGCAAACCAGATGCCTGTTTCAGAACA